TGTAGATACGGAGCACTTGTGTGGATCGGTAACCAGTCTGAATGACATGCGCATAAAACATATGATCGTCACACCGACGACCCACATGGGTACAATGTGTGAAACCCATTTCTGGTGTACCCCGCTGTGATATTGCTGGAATATTGATATAAGCGGCCTAAAAATAAACTCACTCACCCCGATTGTAATCCTGTCACTAGAACCCTGCCCAAACAGCTGTCACCACTACCTGTACTACTCCAACCTAAACATGTAAAGGACAGCGAAGTCAAACCTAACTGCAGCTAACTATAATTGTTGTCTCTGCAAAACATGTATTGCACATTTGTATGTACACGCATCATTAACCATCCGCCTACATGCATTTTCTATAGATACTGAGCGCATGTATGACCGCGTGGTAGAAAGTATGCAGTTTGGATTTATACGCGAGATAGTTTTGGTATTTTCGTTTATGAATCAGTCCCCAACATAATGACTTCACATGGGTGTTTTTCAGTTGCCTTCTTTCGATATTGATTTGTTATTTATATATCCAGATCATTTCTCGACATAGCCATGAACGATGTAACCATGGTGTATAACAGTGTCAACAAAACTGATCGACGTGACCTGCACTGACCCACGTGAGGTCACGGTGACATTTTCTGAGTCTTGTGTACTGTTTGTACGGGATGGCTAATGACGGCCAAGTAGCAGTATCGGTAGATTTTAGTGGGTACTGTTTTTGGGGGTGGTGGAAGTGATGTTGTTAGTGGGTACTGTTTTTTGGGGTGGTGGGTGCTGTTGTTGGTGGGGTGGGGTGGAAGTGATGTTGGTAGTGGGTACTGTTTTTGGGGGTGGTGGAAGTGATGTTGGTAGTGGGTACTGTTTTTAGGGAGACCAAGCGGTCTGTTGGTAGTTGGTAGTGGGTTCTTTTTTCATTGGTAGATGGAGTGATATTGGTAGTTGGTAATGCGTTTTATTTTTGGGGGTAGAGGAACTGATATTGGTGGTTCGTAGGGAGTACTGTTTTTTTTGATAGATGAAGTGAGATTAGTAGTTGGTAGTTGGTACTGGTTTTTATGGTAGATGAAATCATATTGGTAGTTGGTAGTGGGTACTGTTTATGTATGGGATAGAGGAAGTGATAATGGTAGATGGTAGTGGTGCTGTTTCTATATGGGGTAGAGGAATTGATATTGGTAGATGGTAGTGGGTACTGTATATATATGGGGTAGAGGACGTGACATTGGTAGTTGGTAGTGGGTAAAGTTTTTAGGGTGGAGAATATGGAATTTACGGCGTTAAACAACCAAGGAACTATAAATATTATCACTATTAGCATCACCAAGCCTCACCATGAATCACAAAAACCATTACTACAAATAACAGCGATGACACAAGCAGAATATTGATGAAGATCAAAATCAAAGAGTGTCTGAAAAGTCGACTCGATTTACAAATAGAATAGGGACCATTCTTCCTTCCGTGAGGGTAACTATTTTTCTCACATATTCAGTGCTCGAATACTGAACAAATTGAAAACAGCGTCATCACAAATTCTAAAGAAAATCACCATTAATTCCAATTACAAATCAGATGTACTCATTTTTATCTAAAGACAATCACCATTAATTCCAATGACAAATCAGATGTACTCATTTTCATCTAAAGACAATCACCATTAATTCCAATGACAAATCAGATGTACTCATTTTCTAATGGTTCTGACATAAAGGTTACCTACCTACATTGAACGAGATAGGGTGCCGATCAAGGAATGCGCCTATATCCGGGAGTCGATATATACACCTTTGGCTATTCTCCGGACGCGGATAAGTGAAACTAGCCTGGGTTTGTTTTCGAAAATGACCTCGCCTCGGATCACGAAGAGTCTGTCTGACGTTGTTCTATTTATAGCCTGGAAAAACCCACCCTGTCTGTTTACTGGCATTCGGCGCCCACATGTTGTGCTTGCGATGCAAACATACTGTCAAACATTATATTTTATTTTTCATATGATTGAATGTTTCTCTTTCCGCGCACAAATCGGGTTCAGCGGTCAACTTATGTCTTTGTGTTTTGTCAGGTACGAGAGATCTGTATATAATGTACCAACTGTCAACACCATGACTCAGAGATTGATTGTGTAACCACGTCATGAATCACTAACTGTCAGATATGTTAATATGCGTGTAAACATAGGGTTTGACGGGCGTTGTTGCGATAAGATATGATGGAATATTTGAGCCACTTAGGGTTACTGTATATGACCGTAGATAAAGCAATCTCATTTCATAAGCCGAGGTCCTAAACTGACCCTTAAAATCAGCATCCAAATGGTTTGTTCGGTACATAAGCCGAACTACCAACCTAGATTCATCTTCGCGTCGAGATAAGGTTCACGGTATACAATCAATATCGCCAGAACGGGAGACATAGTGGGACACGTTCGAATACATTTTACCCCTCACCCCATGCCACCCGAATATATTTGATTTCATTCAGCTAATCAAGAGGGAACAGTCTACAACTGAGGTGAAACTAGCACAGCAGAGAGGAAACAGAAGTGAACCATCAAGACGCCGGCAGTATGTGGCAGTTGACCAAGGTCTTCGTCGTGCAAAACACGAACATTTGAGCAATGAAGTCTCTGTAATTGACTATACAGATAGACTCTCACACCTTCTATGAGAGTATGCCTGATATGATGTGGTGATATGATATTTACATGTGAAAATCGGTGATAAGATGAATAAGGTGCAATAACTATAATACAAGTCAGTATATGATAAAATATATTTATGTATATTTTTGAATAATGAAATAGATATGCTTTATATATATGTGTGTGTGTGTGTGGTGATAAGTTGCAGAGGCTTGTGCAACTAACTATAATATCAGTCAAAATATATGATAAAATATATTTCTATATATTTGTGAATGTTATATATGTGTGAGGTATATATGCAAATAAGTACAGTAAAATAATAAATAATAAACATATATACGATGAAATATATTTGTGTTGTTTTTGGTTTTATTTTGTGGTAACACCCCTGTTAAGTTTGAAATGGATTGGTCCACATGCCTACTTCGTCTAACAAGCAAAGTCACTCAATCCTGACTATGCCTGGGTCGTCTAATTGGTACTGTTTACCTGTTTTAAACATTAGACGAAACAGGTTGATACAAATTGCCTAGGGTTTCACTCGTGTACTCGCGAATGGGCGAGTGAATGTTGTATGGTGCCACGTAGTCTTGGGCAAAGCGCACGTCACAAATCAATGCCAGTATTGTGTTTCACAATCTCCAAAAATGTAAGAATGTAATATGTGTATACTGTTCCCTTGTGCCACTAGCACGATTTATAGCGTTGATACTACACAATGTAAACAGAAATCTACCACAATAAAATGAAAGAAGAAAGATATATTGACGTAACTTACCTGTCCTGGCTTAAAACGACTTTATAGTTACCACGAACATGTTCCTTTCTTTGTGTGCCAGTTACAAGACGCCAGTGTAGCGACGACGTGAGTAGCTACAAAGGACACCTAGACACACTAGCTCTGATTTAGTTATTGTCATAACTAAAAATACACATATTCCTCAGGAACTGGCCCAATTCTCGACAAATGTCAGGTTTGATTCTGACGACATATAGACCCTTTTGTTCGAGGCGGAACACAAAGCGAAAGGGCGATTAGAAATTAATAGAAAGTGAATGAACTGGGCTAAACAGACTTAAGGCCATACTGGTCATGTGTAAGGGGAGTGGGGCGTGGGGCGTTTAGCAGACAGTCGTTAGACAGAGAGAACTAGAGTAGGCAGACAGAGACATGGAGAGACAAAACCATCTCCCCATCCCCCCAACCCCGCGACATACGCACATACATACATACAAATCAACTGAAATCAATTACCTCGCGCCTCACTATCAGCCGTCTGTTGCTATCCCTACAGCACAACGCAGCACGGCTAGCTTGGTGTGAAGCTCTACGCCAGTGGTATTAGATGTATTTGGGGCGGGTCTACTGGTCGCACGAATGTGGATTTCCTTCATTCATGACAGATCACTTAGTTCGTGTTTGGCGCTGCATATCCACAGTGGATTATCTTGGAACAGGTACCGTGTGGCGGGGGTCATTGATGCTGTGGAGTGCCTCTCATATGACCGTAAACTTGATCTTGTGACGATCAGAAAAAATCCATCGCTAATACATCGTATGTCCATGACCATCCTCTGAATGTAAGCCCGGTCTTCAAAGACTCATTGTAAACAAGAGAAGAGGACAGAAATGCCGATAGATACCATTGTCGCTGAGCGTGATATTGAGTCAGTCATGGCGTCACGCAGCACGGAAGCGTTCACAATTTCGTTTGCATTTACGAAATAATTGCCACAGTTTTATGCATGAATATTCTAAAAGTATTTAACCAAACACGTGCAGTTTTATAATGTATTTCGCTTGATTTCATAATGGGGAATTCGGTGATGTATTTGTTGCAGCTGAATGTGAAGTGTACGTGACATTATAGGCATCTCATGATCGTTGAAAAATAATTTTATAAATCCTATCCAATATTGCGGAATTCGTACTTGTTCGTGTTTGCATGTTTAGTATGACTGTGATACTGCTGAAACAAATATGTTTATATCATGATTATACATCCTTTCCTTATTCCTTAGTTGTCTCCCTTAATCGCACCAGGATCCGCTTACCGTCCGTTCAGTACCAGATTCGGTGTAACCGTGTTCAGCATGGTATCTGTTCTCCATGGGTTTTATTAAAAACGGTGCGCAATGTTGGCTCTTCTCCCTTCAACAATTAGAGACGCTGTGGGTCATCACACTAACAACATGTATCGAAAGGATGGGAAAAGTTTCCTTAGGATACAGAATTTTGCCTCACTGGTGATTAAAGTTTTGTTATTAATGATACTGTGAACTAGGTAAAAATGAAAATGGACTGACAATGGGGTTTGAAAGAGTAATATGTAAGTGACGAATTATAGTAAGTAAATGAAAGTTTATTAACACATTGACACTGAGCTTCTATCATAAAGTGAAGATTACTTCGGGTAACAAACTACTAAAAGAAGAAGTTATGTCTGCGTCAAAGCGTCTTACAAAAGCAGGTAAATAGTTTACTTAAGCATAACTTTATATGTAAACATTTCGAAGGGATAGAGCGTTACATTTATGATTGGAATTACATGAATACTGGAATGATATTTTCAAGCACAATTTTGTGAATGACATAACTTGCTATAAGAGCCCTCAACTGAGCAGTCTGGCATCTCTTCACATTTACTCCGCAACAGTTCGTTCACTTGAAGAGTTTCTTGAAAACCTTCCCAGCGGCTGGAATGATACGTGGGAGAAGATCTCCAATGAATCCTGGCAGTGCAGATCCAAGAAGGCCCATTATTCCAGGTTTCTCCTCATTGACTTCTTTTCTCACCACCTCTCGAAAATCTGGCTTCTCTGCCTCAAGTTTCTTAATGACTTCCCCCTCTCTCTTCTTACTCTCAAACTCCATCTGTCTCTCTGATGCCTCCTTTCCTATCTTCATTTCTTTTATGGCTAATTTCAGATCTTCCATTTCCTTTGAAAGTGCAGCCATCTCACTCTCCTCTTTCTTCTCTGCTTCTTCAACTTTCTCTCTCTCTAGTGTTTTTATTCTCTCCTCCAGTTGCTTCCTCATATCCGCGTCTTCATCGTGTTTCATCTGAAGCTTCAGCTCGAACTCTCGCCTGATTTCATTTCTCTCTTCCTGGATCTTCTGTTCATGTTCCTGTGTCAACTGTTCCTCCCTCATCTTCATGTTCTTCTCTGCCTCAACATACATTTCACTTGTGTAACATTTGCCTCCGTTGTCAAGGAACACCTGGTCAACCAGTGTGATGAAGTCTTTGACATCCTGTTCCTTCTCCGCATCACAGCCTCTGTTGTTGAAGGCGATGCATCTTTTGCGGCACGACTTGACTAGGGCTTGCAGTTTTTCGGGTACTTTCTTTAAGTAATCATGTAGGGATTTATTGTCATGATTTAGATCATCTTTCCTGGTGAAGAGAACAATGAGATAGTTCAACATGTCATCTCCGAAGACCTGTCTGAAATGAGCAACCGTGTCCTGTTCCTCTTGGGTAAAGCGGTCAATCCTGACAACGAGGACAAAGGCATGAGGACCAGGAGCTGTCATGCCGACACATTTCACCACCTCCTTAGTGATTTCAGCATTTGTCATACCTGTATCGAACAACCCAGGACTGTCGATAATGTGAATATCCCGATTAAATCTGGAAGCTCTCCCTCTCTGGCACCTTTTGGTAACAGATGATCCACTGGCACTTGATTCAAAGGCTGCATTACCCAGGATGCTGCTTCCGGTTGTACTTTTTCCTGACCCAGTTCTTCCAATGAAAACTAGCCTTCTTTCAATGATGGGACAGTCAGCTGACCACTCACACCCACCTCCTGCAATGTACATCATAATGCTATGTAATGTCTTGGACAAGTATAAAATAATAATATATGAAACTGTATATTAACGCATCTCTTTGTGCTTCCGGTTGTTTGTTGTCATTTGATGTTTAACGCCGCACTCAGCAATATTCCAGCTATATTGCGGCTATGAGTAAATAATCCAGCTGGAGCCAGATATTCCCGTGAACAACAGCATGAACATCGATCTTCGCAAATGGGATACGATGCCATGTTTTTAACAAGTCAGTGAGCCTGACCATCCGATCCCATTAGTCGCCTCTTAGGTCAAGCATGTTGAAGACCCATTTTTACCCGGATCTTCATTTCTGTAGATAATATCCTTTAATTAGGTTATGACTGGACTATAATTGATAGGGTAGGCAGGTTCAGTTATATGTTTTCCTGCTTGTCTTCGTACCCAACAGCGTGGAACGTTGGTGATGATATCGGTTGGCCTTGTTCTGGTTCTGTTACTTACAAGCCACTAGAGGGCGCGACGTAAAACCCAATACATGTAGTAAGTGGTTACTGTCAGTAATAAGTCTATATTCACATAAACAAAGAACACAACAATTTCTGAAAATACAGACTATCACGTATTCCATGTACGTACGCCATGTGTTATGGTCACTTGAAACGAAGGAATTAACTCAGGAAGGAACATTCTTGAATTCTACTGTCTAGAATCATTATATTGTCAGAGGAATATAATTGGCACTTTGTGAAATAGTTATGTATTGTGGTCGGCACAGGCAGTGGGCAACAGTATCGGGTATAGTGGAATATTACACGGAACAATTACACGAAGAGTTTGGCAGTTTGATTCATGCAACACAATTACGGGCCCTAATATAATATGTAGAGAATACTACACGAGGTCTCATTACATACGAATTATACGAAACAAGTGTCCTCCAGAAACCATAGCAAGGTCACGAGTTTCGTTTAATTCGTATGTAATGAGACCGAGTGTGGTATTTTATTTATTACCCACGTCTTACATGCAATCAATTTTCAAAATAGTGTATTTTTGTTATTGTTATGGTTTCACACCGAAACCGGTTTCATAAAGAGGTTGCGGAAGAATTTTGTTCTGTAGTCACTTTTGCATGACGTGGCACTGTATTTTTGTCACTAAGCCATTCTCGTCTGTCCCCTTGGTAACCGACGTCACGATGCATGTCAGTTGTCATCGCCTAAACTACTCCGTAGCACCATTTACTTGGTTTGCGGTTGCTTCACTCGGCTAACATCACAGGTGGAACCATTGCGTTTATGTGTTTCGACGGATATATTGTCTCAGTTCGACTCACAATTAAACAGTGATACGGCAACTTTCGCAATGTTTACATACCCACAATGCATATAATTTGTAGAATGAATCCATTCACGTGTTTGTTATGAATGGACAAGTAGTTCCGTCACAACGTGACCTAACTGAGAGGTCATCGGTTATCCAATCAAATCGTTAGAATCTCAGGTCAAGTCGTTACGACACAGGTCAACGCGATACGACACTCTTGTGACGTACGCGGTTAGTATGCAACTACCCATACGTTGACCACGTGGGTAATACATAACCTTACGTTTTGTAGCAGCTTTGATCCGAAATGATCGTTACCTCTTTGCTGGTCTGTTTGGCGGGGACCTATCGGTTCTGGATTGTCCACATTAGGTAGTCCAGGTAGTTGTCGTGGTTTAGACGTGTCACATGCATTGCAGTAGTCCAGGACGCCACTGTTGACGAATGTGCAGGTTCCACACGTCCATTCCTCATCTTCAAATAGACACGAGGGGTTTCGTCAGTTCGCAAACTAACACATTAAGTGTTAAATATAGGATATATATTATACACATGAGCATAAACTGAGCACCACTATAACCGAAAGGCATTTTTTGTCGAACCAGTATCATACCATGCATACTGGAATGTATATTAAAACACGTGTTCAATACAATCTCTCTGAAGCTATGAATTGCATGTTCACGTGCTGCGATGGTGCCAAGAAGACTGGGGCATAAATGTCATAACGTCAGTATGTGCTTAAGAATTTCTTAACAATGAACTTTTCTTGACATGGCAATCCACACACGTTCAGAAGACAGACGATGACAATTTGTTTGCATGTATGACACAGAGATGTCCTGTCGAAGCCTCGGTGCTACCATAAACCACACAGTTATTAGTGGACCTGTAAAGGAACACGTGATCACTGGTGAAGTAAAGGATCGACTAAGACCTGGACGACCGAGGGGGGCGGTGACCGTGATGACTGAATCCTAGTTAAAATGTCAAGATGCAGTCCCTTGACCCATACCGCCAAAGGAGAGTGTGAATCCCAATCGTTAACGGTATCATCAAGACGGACGGACGCTAGTGATAGTCTCTTCCTCACTAACAGACAAAGATAGGAATATCTGGTGTCGTGCAGACTCCGAGAAACTGCAGCATGAGGACAAGGCGTAGTGTTCATTAGTCTGATGAACCTCGCTATTGACTACACGTTACCGACGGCCGTTGTTGCATATGGAGACGTCGTTACGAGGCATATCACCAGGAGATTATCCATGCATCTGAACCTTTTGGTAGGGGCTCAGTCATGGTGCGGGGTTGCGATTCGTATGACTGCATGTTGGATAACGTTACAGTATCTGGGACACTCAATGATCAACGTCATAAACAGGAAGTACTGGATACCGCCGTCGTGCCACATTTTGATAACAGTCCCCTTGCCAGTCGTCCGGTATTCATGGATGACATCACAAGACCCTACAGTTCACAGTTCATCGCCCCTTTGGAGAATTACGCCATGGAAACATTACCATGGCCAGCAAGGAACCCAAAGATGAACGCGAACGTGACCGTACCAAAAACTTTCGATCATAGAGATCCTACTGTTTACAGTTTCCTGGAACTGAAACAGACACTTCAGGGGGAATACCAGAGGATTCCGATGCTGAGAATTCGACGTTTGATAGCCATTATGAGGAGGAGACTGTGCGAGGTGTTGATACACCAGGTACACTCTGCGACTGTTGTGGTTCATACAGTCACAGCATTATCACTTCTTGAGCACAACATTATCATTTCTTGAGAACTGTTTGGCAATCTGTCATGGTAACCATTGTTCCCTACATTGTTGACACATTGTTTTTGTGTATTCCTCTCAGATTCCTTGTAGATTTATACCAAATTTAATTTTCATTTTTGTTTTTGGTTCAATAAGAGAGGAACAGGTACGATTTTAATTGTGCTGAAAATTTCAAACCATATCCAGCATGCAGTGTTTCTGTAACTGTCAAATAAAATAGTGGGTGATGCTTGATAAATGATCATGTGTATATAATAAAGTACTCTGTGCATCGTTATATAATTTCATGTTTATACAAAAAACGAAACAAAACAAATTAAAGCAAATTTGAAAATCACAAAACTATTAAGCAAGTGGCCCATTTTAAAAGAGTTAAGGTTGTTATATACGCAAAATAAAGACCTTCTGAAATTTCGCTATGGACACGAAGTCGATCCGCGGTAAACTTTGATGTTGAAGGCGTTGCTAGAGTCACGCTAATCCGCTAGTAGGTGTTGTTTCAAGATTTTCCATTACCGGAGCATTGTGTAAGGCGTGAACATAGTTCACTCAACATGTCATCAATGTTATCATACATATGAGAGTGAATTCACAATGATGAACATATTTAAGGAAGGAACACGCGGTAGTTTGCTTTCAATTTCGATATGGCAAATACACAATTACATCCAGTGGTGGAAGATACCTGTGTGTTGGTGGATTTATAAGTGAAGCGAAATTGGATATCCTGGAAGTGCACAGAAAAGAAGTGTAATTTCACTGCGTCAACTGTCAATGACATTGTGACGATGGTGACAGGTGACCATGCTCATTCCCGTGTCCAAGTAGACATAAAGGTAAGCATCTTGTCAATGCCTGATATCAATCTGTTACTAAGGAAAATATAGAAGTAAAATAGATATATCAAATCTGAATAATGTACGTGACCATGTTTTTCATATCGTTTAATAGATTTTGTTAACAATTCTAACAATTTATATATAGCAGTAGAGTGGTGTAACGTGGTCTGTGTAAAAGAATGTGTAAAAAGAAATAATAAATCTACTTTTACTATCTTTCAGATAAACCAGTTTGCAAATGGTGCATCTCACCTACTTCCTGTTGGATGATTTTGTATACGAAATAAAATGGACGAATTATAGTACTTTTCTCCTGTTGTCTGTGTTCTCAACCGCATAATCTGGATTATCGCCTTGTGAAAACACTGGATTATTTCTTTGTCTTTTCTAATCCCCTGTTAATTGGTATAAGGTCAAATGGACAGGACGTCGACCTTAACTGAACCGTGACATTTCACCCAAGGGTCGACGTCCTGTGCAGACACCCCACTCACACATGCCGGTTGCGGTCTTATATTCCGGTTTACCATCTGAACTAAATAAGTAGCACTTACCCATGGTGGAAGTATCACAGGATGTCTTGGGCCGGCAGTTCACCAATCTGATAACAGAAGAGTGAGTGAGTGGGTTTAGATTTAGGCCGCCTTTAGCAATATTCCAGCAATATAAGCGCGGGGGTCACCAGAAATGGGATTCACACATTGTACCCATGTGGGGAATCGAACCCGTTGTTTTCGGCGTGACGAACCAACGATTTAACCACTTGGCTACCCCGCTGTCAGAAGAACATTTTACACATGCTGTTGAGTGCTGCACGTAGCTATAGTCTAGTTATGTATATGAAGACTGTAAATTATGAAATCTAAACTCATATTATTTATACATAATACTAACGAGGCCAAACGCCAATGGTACATCTGTGTGTGTACCATCCATTACATTGTTACATTTCTTACATTCAGTACATGGAATATGTAGTATCTATAGTATTGCTACAATCCCATCACACCAGTGTACGATATTTATTACATCTATATGCTGTGTGACCCCTTCGTGTATTTTTTCTAATGTCTTTATGTATTGGAAAAACGAGTAGAATATATAAAGTCATTAGGCTGCTACATATCTGCTCGTTTCAATGGCAAGCTCATGTTACAACGAATTCGTTAGAGGACTGTTTGAAACCTTTGGAAATGTACATCTAAGAGAAAGTGTTCTACGGAACAAAACCAATTTAACCGATAAATCTGGACCAGAAAACCCAGTGATCGATATTATGAGCACCACCGGGTACAAACCACCGGGTCTTACCACACGACATGGGGCAGGTGCTTTATCCACTAGGCCACGAATATAGTAGACTGATAACAGGTGACTACTGGAACAGTTGGGCGAGATCGGTGAATTCGTCCATAGCGTCTTTAACACGTCATCGTATCATTGCTTTTCATGATGTCAATCACTGGATCGTCCAGACGACATATAGCTGGAATATTGCTAAGTGACAGACAAGATCTTAATGTGTTGAGGAAGACCATAGGAACGTGGGTCGATGCTCATAAATACACAAAAAGATATGAAAACTACTACTATTACTACTACTACAACTACTACTACTACTACTATTGCTACTACTACTTCTATTACTACTACTACTACTACTATTACTACTTCTACTACTACTACTACTACTACTACTTCGACTACTACTCCTACTACTACTACTACTACGACAGCTGCTACGTCTACTCATGTGCTAATGCAAATCAACCCAGGCAACGAAATGGAGGAAGTCAAATATTTACATACCTTTGTGGACCAAACTGATTATAACGAGATTACACAGCTCGGTCGGGTACAGAATAAATGAGTACATCTCCGCCTTTCGTGCAATAAAATATGGTTCAAAGTGGAAATTACGTCTGTAATCAATATCAATTTCCTTGTTCAATGACCTGAAATGACAGACAAAAACCATCACCATCCCTGGGGTCACGGGATCACGGAATCACGTGGTTACTGGGGTTACGGGGGCACAGGGGTTACGGGGCACTGTGGTTATGGGGTACCGTGGTTAAGGGGCACTGTGGTTACGGGGTACTGTGGTTACGGGGTACTGTGGTATTGGGGTACTGTGGTTACGTGGCACTGTGGTTACTGGGCACAGTGGTTACGGGGTACAGTGGTTATGGGGCACTGTGGTTATGGGGTACTGTGGTTACGTGGCACAGGGATTACGAGGTACTGTGGTTAAGGGGTACTGTGGTTACTGGGCACTGTGGTTACGAGGTACTGTGGTTATGGGGTACTGTGGTTACGGGGCACTGTGGTTACTGGGTACTGTGGTTACGAGGCACTGTGGATACGTGGCACAGGGGTTACGGGGTACTGTGGTTACGGGGCACAGGGGTTAGGGGCACTGTGGTTATTGGTTACTGTGGACACGGGGTACAGTGGTTATGGGGTACTGTGGTTATGGGGTACTGTGGTTATGTGGCACTGTGGTTACGGGGCACAGTGGTTACGGGGCACAGTGGTTATGGGGCACTGTGGTTACGGGGCACTGCGGTTATGGGGCACTGTGGTTATGGGGTACTGTGGTTAAGTGGTACATGTACTGTGGTTATGTGGCACTGTGGTTACGGGGTACAGTGGTTACGGGGCACTGTGGTTACTGGGTACTGTGGTTACGAGGCACTGTGGATACGCACTGTGGATACGTGGCACAGGGGTTACGGGGTACTGTGGTTACGGGGCACAGGGGTTACGGGGCACTGTGGTTATTGGTTACTGTGGACACGGGGTACAGTGGTTATGGGGTACTGTGGTTACGGGGTACTGTGGTTACGGGGTACTGTGGTTACGGGGCACTGTGGTTATGGGGCACTGTGATTACAAGGGCCCCACTTGTAGAAGGTACCGAACATCGCCTAGTCTGTCTCGCAGTCCCCGAACCACATTATTTGCTTCCCACAAAGCCCTTGCTGTAATGCTGTAGCACTAAATAAAGCAAAAGTCGATTTCATGTAAGTTCTAAATCTCTCATCTTACATGGGTTCAGTATGAATGTTTTTCCATAAAAAACATATGTAATTATTTGCTTTAGTCTACGGTTTGCTGAGTTTTCTGCATCACAGCGCTAAGATGGGATTCGCTTTGAGGATATTTCCTTATGTAGTAAACCCGGAGTGGAGAACATCAGACGTTGATTATAGAATATTCGCTGAACCACGTTCTAGAAACGGTTTAGCGGCTGTCACAGCTGTTAAGACCGCCAGGCAATACTTGTAACTGAGCTTGGATGCTTGTTACTATTTTCACCAAATACAGATGCATCTGTATCGTGGATGTGAGCATCTGCTACAACCATCAATGTCATTTGAAATTTACCGAAAAACAATATGTGAAATACTGTACTTTCTCATTGATAACGTCTTGTGAAATTTGGGGGGTAAACATTTCGCCAAGAAGTAGGCATCCCCATGGGCACCAATTGTCCTCCCCTCCTTGCGGATCTGTTTCTTTATGCATATGAATCAAAATTTCTGCTTGGGTTGGCAAACTCAAAACAAGCTAATTTGGCCAAGAAGTTTAACTTACGCTTCCGGTACATCGATGATCTAATATCGTCCAATAACCATCAAATAACCAATTCTCTTCATCTGATTTACCCCAAGTGTATGACAAGGGGGGTGATTTAAACTTTCCAATAGCCAACTTCCCTTTCATGTCAAGCAATATTCCACTAGCTTCAGTCTTTGGTGTTTAGACTTCATAACTTGTGAGGTACAACGAGCATGCTCTTTTTACGAAGATTTCAGAAGAGCGTCATGCTACTCTTGCTCAGAAGGTTTTTAATGAAGGTTACAACATCCGAACCCTTCAGTAAAGCTTTCGAAACGTTTAATTGTAGACATGTGGAGGAACTTCCAAATTTGATGCATCAGTGACACAAATGATGTCCGATGCAATTATCTATTTTGACTGTAACATACGTTCCCGAATTTCTTTCAATTAACTATACTTTGTCTATGTTTATGACGGGTGTCACCGGTGAGGCGGGATACGCTCACCTATTCGCGAACACCTGGTATCATCACTATTTCATAGTGATTCATAAACACATGCTCTGTCATCGTATCACTGGATTGTCTGGTCCAGACTTGATTGTTTACAGACATTATCCTACAGCTGTAATACTGTTAAAACAAATAAATTACATACTCAAAATATAGTCACAATTGTACAATCGACTCTGCTTTCAGCATATACTTCTTATGAATATGGAAAGGGTTTTAATCGCCTCTATTTCCACTCTACTAACACCAAGTTTTAGTTTACATTTCCTTATTCAAGATTTATTACTGCATACAATGTTCTTCCGCTTTCGCGTTGGTTATTTGTCCCATCTCCTTCCTCCACTGACAACGAAATTAATATGTTTTTAATTAGCTAATGTCCGTGACAATATAAACACGTTACAAATACAATCGTGTGTAATTGTTGCTTGCGGAAGTTGTATGCGATGGGGCTTTCCACCTTTACATGTGAGGATGGATGGACAATGAGAACAACGTGTATTCGGGTCATCTTCACATTCTTTTGAACTTATCACGGTTTTTGAAAGAGGATTATTTTTTAATTTTTTATGGATATAGTCGGGGATTAATTTTCTTGGGAACATGTACACAAGCTAAAAGTGCATTGTTCTGGGTAGATACATTTGCAATGTATAGATTATTTTACATCTGTAGCAATAATATTTTCTCTAATTTGTTTCGTTAACGTCCGAAAAATATATTCATTAGGACATTAGATACAATATGTAAACACACTGATGCACAGAGCATCGTCTCAGATATCTGAGTTTTGGGTGAGTGAGTAAGTTAAAATTTATAGATTCTTTGGCAATGTTTCAGCCTTATCGTGACTAAATCAAGTTATAGTTTGATACAAATTAAAGGTACATTATAAAAACCTGTCAACGATGGACAGTAAAACAAATAGATTATCACAGACAAAATTTAAAACAAGTAATTAAATCAAAGACATTGTAACTATACATGACAACATGACACTACAATATACAAACAGGCTATAGATTGCCAACAACTTAAGGTAGATCACCATACCAGGGACTAACTGAGTATTGCTTTGTACCACAGTTCAGTCACATTCTAGCAACATCAGGGTTAGTTCAACCACTCTACACATGTAGGGAATAGAACCCAAACAATTTATATACTGGGCCGCCCTACCACCATACTAACGACACAGAAAACTTTTCGCAAAAAATAAATAACAAAGCACAAAAATGAATAACGAAACACAAATAAAACAATATAAAGAGTTGGTAAGTCATGTAAGTAATGAATAAATCTTGAGTGAGTGAGTGAGCTTTTAGCGCTTTTAGCACTATTGCAGCAATATCACGGCGGGGGACACCAGAAATGGGTTTCACATACATATTGTACCCATATGGGGACTCAAGCCGGGTCTTCAGCGTGACGGGCGGACGCTTTAACCACTAGGCTACCCCACCGCGACAAAGAATAAAAAGAAATCCATCTTAAAGTTATTCTGATAAAAAGGCACCTGTGATAAAATGAAGATTTATTTGAGTGAATTGCTCTCACAGGTTGTTTTTTAGCCACTGGAAGAAATAAATCAAGTGAAACAACAAAGAGCATCTTTTAAAACCTCACGCAATAATATATACTTCCCATCAAACGTTTAGACTCACTATTGTAAATATAGCCACTACTTCAGGCAACTGTTCTAAACTAAATTTTGCAAAATATTCCACACTGTTTAAAGGTACTGTTTATACATGAACTGATGCATTGTAAAACAAATTCGTAACGTTGAAAAGATCATTGTCATGAGTTCAATAAATGATAAAAATCAGTGAATATTGGCGAATTCTTAACAAAACTTTACACCAAAACGCAGCTGTTCACATGCACGATATTTGCACTTGCTTTTCAGGAATTTGTTGCATGATCCTCGTACAATTCATCTGCATAAGGTTTGCAGTTGGTTCCCATAAGTTAGTGGAGAAATTCATCTTCGATGTAACCATATATATATATAACATATAGTGAGTGTATGAAGTCAGTCTATACTTTTGAAGGGAAGAATATATACCAACTTACCCAGGGCCAGTGGTTTGAGGAAATGAAGCTTTTACTAAACTTCCTGTAGCATGACGTGGCAAGTGCTCAGCTTGGAATAGAGAAATCGTGAGTACATAACAAGCAGGGCGATATACCCTGGCACCCACGGTTGTTACATCGATATTGGTGAAGTTGATAATTGAAGTTAAATTATCGCACGTGACACAGCGACTGTTTGTGTAGGTGGTTGGGTTAATGCTGCATTATCCACATGTGACTTAATGTTATGTTATCCATCTGAGACTTAATATTGTGTTATCCTTTGTGACATAATGCTGCGTTAACCACATGCGATTTAATGCTGCGTTATCAATGTGAGACTTCATGTTGTGTTATCCATGTGCGACGTAATGCTATGTTATCCATGTGCGACGCAATGCTATGTTATCCATGTGAGACTTAATGCTGTGTTATCCATGTGCGACGTAATGCTATGTTATCCATGTGCGACGTAATGCTATGTTATCCATGTGCGACGTAATGCTATGTTATCCATGTGCGACGTAATGCTATGTTATCCATGTGCGACGTAATGCTGTGTTATCCATGTGCGACGTAATGCTGTTATCCACGTGAGACTTCATGTTCTGTTATCCATGCGCGACGTTATGCTATGTTATCCATCTGTGACTTATTGGTGTGTTATCCATATGAGACTTAATGCTGTGTTATCCATGTGAGACATAATGATGTGTTATCCTTGTATGGCTTAATGATGTGTTATATATGTGAGACTTTATGCTGTGTTATCTATTTGAGACTTAATGCTGTGTTATCGATGTGAGACTTAATGCTGTGCTATCCATGTGAGACTTAATGCTGTGTTATCCTTGTATGGCTTACTGACGTGTTAGCCATGTGAAACTAAATGCTGTGTTATCCATGTGCGACTTAATCATGTGTTATTCATGTTAGACTTATTGGTGTGTTATCCATTTGAGACTTAATGCTGTGTTATCCATGTGTGACTTAATGCTGTTATCCATGTGTGACTTACTGCTGTGTTATCCATCTGTGACTTATTGGTGTGTTATCCATGTGAGACTTAATGCTGTGTTATCCATGTGTGACGTATTGCTGTGTTATCCTTGTATGACTTAATGATGTGTTATATATGTGAGACTTTATCCTGTGTTATCTATTTGAGACTTAATGCTGTGTTATCGATGTGAGACTTAATGCTGTTATCCATGTGAGACTTAATGCTGTGTTATCCTTGTATGGCTTAATGATGTGTTAGCCATCTGAAACTTAATGCTGTGTTATCCATGTGCGACTTCATCATGTGTTATCCATGTTAGACTTATTGGTGTGTTATCCATTTGAGACTTAATGCTGTGTTATCCATGTGTGACTTAATGCTGTTATCCATGTGTGACTTAATGCTGTGTTATCCATCTGTGACTTATTGGTGTGTTATCCATGTGAGACTTAATGCTGTGTTATCCATGTGTGACGTATTGCTGTGTTATCCTTGTATGACTTAATGATGTGTTATATATGTGAGACTTTATCCTGTGTTATCTATTTGAGACTTAATGCTGTGTTATCGATGTGAGACTTAATGCTGTTATCCATGTGAGACTTAATGCTGTGTTATCCTTGTATGGCTTAATGATGTGTTAGCCATCTGAAACTTAATGCTGTGTTATCCATGTGCGACTTAATCATGTGTTATCCATGTTAGACTTATTGGTGTGTTATCCATCTGAGACTTCATGCTATGTTATCCATGTGTGACGTAATGCTACGTTATCCATGTGTGACTTAATGTTGTTATCCATGTGTGACTTAATGCTGTGTTATCTATAGGTGACTTATTGGTGTGTTATCCATCTGAGACTTAATGCTGTGTTATCCATGTGTGACGTATTGCTGTGTTATCCTTGTATGACTTAATGATGTGTTATATATGTGAGACTTTATCCTGTGTTATCTATTTGAGACTTAATACTATGTTATCAATGTGAGACTTAATGCTGTTATCCATGTGAGACTTAATGCTATGTTATCAATGTGTGACTTAATGCTGTTATCCATGTGTGACATAATGATGTGTTGTCTTTCTGTGACTTATTGGTGTGTTATACATATGAGACTTAATGCTGCCTCATCCATGTGAGACTTAATGCTGTGCTATCCATGTGAGACTTAATGATGTGTTATCCTTGTATGGCTTAATGATGTGTTAGCCATGTGAAACTTAATGCTGTGTTATCCATGTGCGACTTAATCATGTGTTATCCATGTTTGACTTAATACTGTTATCCATGTGCGACGTAATGCTATGTTATCCATGTGTGACTTAATACTCTTATCCATGTGTGACTTAATGCTATGTTATCCATGTGTGACTTAATGCTGTTATCCATGTGTGACTTAATGATGTGTTATCTATTTGAGACTTAATGCTGTGTTATCCATGTGGGACTTCATGCTGTGCTATCAATTTGAGGCTTAATGCTGTGTTATCCATGTGCGGCGTAATGCTATGTTATCCATGTGTGACTTAATACTGTTATCCATGTGCGACGTAATGCTATGTTTTCCATGTGTGACTTAATACTGTTATCCATGTGAGACTTAATGCTGTGTTATCCATCTGAGACTTAATGCTGTGTTATCCATGTGGGACTTAATGCTGTGTTGTCTATGTGTGACATAATCCTGTGTTGTCCTTAATTCTGTGTAATATATAAGTGCCTTAATGCTGTTTCATCCATTTGAGATTGATTGCTGTGTTATCCATGTGCGACGTAATGCTATATTATCCATGTGTGACTTAATGCCGTGGTATCCATGTGTGACTTAATGCTGTGTTATCCATCTGAGATTTAATGCTGGGTAATCCATCTGAGACTAAATGCTGTTATCCATCTGAGACTTAATGCTGTGTTATCCTGTGTCACGTAATGCTGTGCTTACCATGTGAGACCTAATGCTGTGTTATCTGTGTGTTACATGATGCTTGTTATCCACCTGAGAGTTAATGCTGTGTTAACCATTTGCGACGTAATGCTATGTTATCCATGTGTGATTTAATGCTATGTTATCCGTGTGCGACGTAATGATATGTTATCCATGTGTGACCTAATGCTGTGTTTTAATCATGTGTGACTTAATGCTGTGATATCAAACAGTTAATAAATGCTGTTTTTCCGTTTGAGACTTAATACTCTTTTATCCTTGCTGCCTATGAACTGGAGTGAAGATTCCAACAGCCTGACTCAGCAATTTGTAGCCAGATTATTTGTCATGCATGTGCTTGAAATACAATGTGAGTAAATAAACTATCGATTAGTTTTAGATAATCTACTGTTGAACGAATAAGCGACGTCATAGCTGTAGTGTAATTGTAGAAACACACGGACAACAGGGGTTGGTTATAAGTTTATGTAAATACCCATACAAAATATTAGACATATCATTATCATGTGATATAAAAATCTCCAATATATCAGTCAAAAAAGCGTTTCAAGAGTAGTCATATCTTAACTGAACCTCGTAAAGAGTGAATCACAAAATGCGTCACAGAAACATGATATTTCTGGCGTGTTAACTGGCTTAATTGTTGGGCAGCTTGAATTTCCAAATTAATATATACATGTAAATCAGTCGTATATGAATTACCGATAGATGTACAAACGTAGCATGCATGTTTGGCAAGAGTACAGTAGCAAATGTTGAACACTTGAAACAGCAACCAGTAACACCAAGTATTGTACGACGTAACAATCCAGCTAATGGGAACTGATTGTAAGGCTGGTGGTAACTGAATCATCCTGGAGGAATTGAAAGAAAGAAGCTCTCGGGAGTCTGCTATATATATATGTCCCAGTGAATATGAGAGTACTAAGTTTGTACTGGACAGTAGTCAGGTTTTGAATGATTTGGATGTGGTTGTGGTATTATTCCAGGGCAAAATAGCGAGCACAAAATGTGTGGTCCTAGACATTGGAAGACACATTACTCCCAAACTCTTGTGTCCTTGTTGTTCTTGAAGACGACTTGTCTTATTTTGTGGCAGGAGCCTCAATATCGGACTTTGATGGCAAGTTGTGGTATTTGCGACGAGTCTTCAATAATCCAGTGAGGCTAGACAAGACTAAGGTCCAGTCATATCACACCTCTACATGGTCCCGATGCATTAGGTGTCTTCCGGTATATTTTGTTGATGTGGGACTAAGTAAAGGGAATCAGTGAAATACGAAGTCAGTTCTTGGGTCGATAATAAAAACCCGATATTAAACACCGAAAGTGTCAGCGTCCTTCGTCATAACAGATTATTCGCTTCTATCTTCATATTGCTGTTCAATTTAGTATTGAGGTAAAAGTCAGTTGATTGTCCAATTACAGAGTCCAGGAAAAAGTGAGGAAACTAAAACCTGACTTATGACCAGAGCAATGTCTTCTTGCAGGAGAGTGTTGGCGTGAAAGGCAGATTGACGAGCCAAAAAAGACATTTACTTAGAGAACAACCCTCTAAAAAACTTTCCAATTTTGGGCAGAACACTCCCAACGAGGGTTGGCAGGATGTTTCCAAGTATGCCCATTATACCTGGTTTCTCGTCATTGACTTCCTTTCGAGCGGTTTCTCTGAAGTTTGGCTTTTCTATTCCCAGTCTTTTCCTCACCTCCTTGTCTTTCTTCTTTCGTTCCATGTCCAGCTTGTTCTCTGATTCCTCCTTCTGTTTCTTAATGTCTCTCAAGGTCAGCTTCAGATTCATAACTTCTTTTTGGAGAGCAGCCATGTCTTTGTCGGTTTCGGCGTTATTTTCCTTTTCAATTTCAAGTTGTCGTATTCGGTCCTCCAGCTGTTTTCTGACTTCTGATGTTTCATCATGCTTCATCTGCAGTTTCAACTCAAATTCTCTCCAGATTGCGTCCCTCTCTTCTTGCCCCTTCCGTTCATGTTCCAGCCTCAGCTGCTCCTCTCTCATCGTCATGTTGCTCTCAGCCTCCTCAAACATTGCACTCGTATAGCACATACCTCCGTTGTCATCAACCATTTCGTCCACCAATGTGAGGAAGGCCTCGACATCTTGTTCCTTCTCCTCATCACTTCCTCTGTTGTTGAAGGCAACGCATCTGTCATTGCACGACTTCACAAAGTCTCGCAGTGGCTGGGGGACTTTCTTTAAATACCCCTTGATGCTTTGCTTTTCATGCAAAAGATCGTCCTTTCTAGTGAACAGAATGATGATATAGTCCAACATATCTTCTCCAAACACAAGCCTAAAATGGTTCAGCGTGTCTTGTTCCTCTTGGGTAAAGCGGTCAATCCTCACAACGAAGACAAAGGCATGAGGACCTGGAGCTGTCATCCCGACACATTTCACCACCTCCTTGGTGATTTCAGCATTCGTCATACCTGTGTCGAACAATCCAGGACTGTCGATTATTTGGATATCCCGGCCAAATCGATTGCTGGTTCCTCTCTGGCACCTTTTGGTAATAGATGATCCACATGCGCTTGATTCAAACACTTCTTTGCCAAGGATGTTATTGCCTGTAGCACTCTTCCCTGACCCTGTTCTACCAAGGAAAACTATTCTCCTTTCGGTTGGACCGAGGTCATTTAACGACCCAGTATCTGTCCCTGAAACACAAATGATGCCTGATTACAGACAGAAAATGCTGCGATAATTTATGAATTATCAACAATATTTACTTTTGTTATCTCCTGGGTTAAACTGTACAGTAACCCATGATGCATTACATACTTCTTTTACATCAGATTAGTTTGGCGTTAATTTCAGGCATATTATTCTTGAATATCTAGTACCTAGATGACGTAATATATATTTCAGTGTGCATTAAGTATGTATTTTAATGAACAGGATAAAGTTTGTTACCTGTCTTGCACCGACTTGGTCCCGGCATCGGCGCTGAACAGGCTTTGCATTTTTCCTTGCTGCCATCGTTTTCAAGAGTACACTTGCCGCATATCCATTCCCCATCTGACAACACAGATACCACCACATATATTGGGACTTTCACAAACACCACAATCGTCACTAAGGACTTCTTATATTTAGAATGTACAATAAATGCTCAACAACTTAGGCAAATTACTGGGTAAATGTGCATACCGCGATATACCTCCTACATGTCCTTTAAATGCACATACAAAATATAGTTAGGCAAATAACTGGGTAAGTGTGCACAGCACTTAAGGCCTCATAAATGGCCTTTAAATGTACATACACAATAAAGTAATTTTCTAGTTGCGATTCTCTGTTACGAAGCCTTCTCAACACCATGTGATGTATTTTCTGTTTGATCTTGTTTAATTGATATTTGATTATTGATACAAATGGAGCTAAAATATAACCTCTGGACCAAATTCCCTTGTTTGATTTCCAAAAGGAGAATCTGCCCCACACGCACAGAGCAGCAGATCGACAAGGATGGGTGCATAATTTGTGCCCCTGAGATCCATGCTTCTAGCCTGAATGTCCTGTCCCCAAATTTCACTCACTCACTCACTCACAATAACATTTACAATCACAATCACATTCACACACACTTAAACAGAATTGGGCAATTTGATTACATATTGTAACATATCGAAAAATAACTCTGGTTGAACTTTTGAAAAAGAAAGCATAAATGAAAGAAAAACAATGCACTGAAAACACCTACCCATGTTGACTGCTGACACTTTTCTGCAGATTTTTCACCTGAAACAGAAACAGAAACTGAACAAATACAAAAGACAAAGAGTACAATGTGGGTGGAGCTCACTGTTACCTTGGACGACTTACATTCTGCTGTGACTGAGGGGGGCGGTTTACAGGAGGGAACAAAATGGATGGATTTTAGGAATATTCCAGCAATATCACGACGGAGAACACAAGAAATGGTCTCCACATACTGTACCCATATGGGGAATCGAACCCGGGTCTTCGACGTGACGACCAAAAGTTTTAACCACTAAGCTCCCCCATCGTCCGGTCAACGAATGAAGCTAAAGAAACTGAAATGATCTGCCCTTGATCAACTTCATGACTAACTTTTGTATGTCCCCCTGACTCGCGTAATTTCTAACAAACACTGTCACTGACGTACTTTCTCAGTGACCAACACGGTCGCCGATTCCCGTACTCACTGACCAACATACTCTCTTTCTCAAGTACGCACGGACCTACGTACTGATGTACTCGTGTATTTACAGATACAAGTACTCGCTGAACAACGTACTGACGTAATCGTCTATTTACAGATACAAGTTTTCACTGACCCACGAACTGACGTATTCATGGAATTTCACATAAAGGTACAAACTGACCCACGTACTGACGTTATCATGATCTTACAGATACAAGTACTCACTGACCCACGTACTGACGTACTCATGTCATTAGAGATACAAGTACTCTTTGACCAACGTACTGACGTACTCATGTATTTACAGATACAAGTACTCACTGACCAACGTACTGACGTATTGATATACTTAAAGATACAAGTACTCACTGACCAACGTACTGAGGTACCCATGTATTTACAGATACAAGCACTCACTGACCAACGTACTGACGTACACATGTATTTACAGATGCAAGTACTCACTGACCAACGTACTGACGTACTCATGTATTTACAGATACAAGTTCTCACTGACCAACGTACAGAGGTACTCGTGTATTTACAGATACAAGTACTCACTGACCAACGTACTGAGGTACTCATGTATTTACAGATGCAAGTACTCACTGACCAACGTACTGACGTAATCGTATACTTACACATACAAGTTTTCACTGACCCACGAACTGACGTATTCATGTAATTTTAAATAGAAGTATTCACTGACCAACATACTGCCGTACTCATGCATTTACGGATACAAGTACTCACTGACCAACGTACTGACGTATTGGTATACTTACACATACAAGTACTCACTGACCAACGTACTGACTTATCTTGAACTTACAGATACATGTAATCACTGATCCACGTACTGACGTACTCTTGTATTTACAGATACTAGTACCCACTGACCAACGTACAGCCGTACTCATGTACTTACAGACACAAGTAATCACTGACCCAAGTACTAACGTACTCATTTATTTACAGATACAAGTACTCACTAACCAACGTACTGACGTATTCTTGTACTTTCAGATACAAGTACTCACTGATCCAAGTACTGCCGTACTCATGTATTTACAGATACAAATACTCACTGACCAACGTACTGACGTACTCATTAATTTACAGATACAAGTACTCACTGTCCTATGTACTGAGGTACTCGTGTACTTGCATAATTACTTCTATTTATTTCTGTTAAAACAACGCTTAATGTTTTGTTTCGTTGTGAACTTATTACATTTCCGTTTTAAAAGGAAGAGAATGATTGTATTTCTCAACACGTGACCAATCATTGGCATACCTAGTCCTGATGCTGTTTAGAAGTAAAGTAATAATTTCCGTCTGTTCTCTCACCCACGTGTATGAATATAAATTCATTTATACTCAAAATATAACATAGAGAACAATAAATATACTACTTGGTTAAAAAATTGCACATGGTGCCAGTCAGTCCCTAGTTTAGCTGGTTCAGACTCGAATATTTACAAAACGCTGCATTTTACTGTTAATTTAAACGATCAAAATGTCAGTTAAAGTGGTATCACCAACACACCCAACTCACATGCCATTACATGTTTGCTTTAACGAAGCAGTACATGGCACAACTACAACGAATTAAATACCATTATTGTTTTATTTTAACGAAAATGGATATAGCACAAACCCACCAAAACCAAGCAGGATATGGCACCAATACCAGGAGCTCAAGCAACATCGCATTTTGACTCAAACAAGGCAGGAAAGTGAGAAACTCACTCAGACAGTATTGGGCGAGTGAGTGAGTTTAGTTTTACGCCGCACTCAGCAATGAGGCGACTAATGGGATGGGGTGGTCAGGCTCGCTGGCTTGGTTGACACATGTCATCGTATCCCAATTGCGTAGATCGATGCTCATGCTGTTGATCACTGGATTGTCTGGTCCAGACTCGTTTATTTACAGACTTGGCCATATAGCTGGAATATTGCTGAGTGCGGCGTAAAACTAAGCTCACTCACTCACTACAGTGAATGCACTACTATCACCGAGAAGAGAGAGATGGATCAGTCAGTCAGATCATATCTCGTGTCCAGTCCAGTTGCCTCTTGTTCACAACAAAGACTGTCGGCAAGTTATATATTATACAAATAGCTGACTCTATACTATCTAAAAACATTGTCTACACAAGATGACATGGTCATCGATATCCCTCACAATGGTAAATATTTGTCGCGAATAACTGCTTATTGACTTTCTTTGTGTGCCCCTCTGATAAGTGTAAATTGGCACGCCTCCCACGACCTAAAACTATGAATACACGATGCCATTAGAAAGTGGTCACATATAACACATGTTACATTTGGGATAACACTTTCTCATAAAACTCTGAAAGTGACGGTTCGAATCCCGGATGGGACCCAACCAATTCTAACTAGAATCTGTACTATACTGACAAGGTGCAATCCAAAATATATATGTGTAACTCGAAAAATCACTCTTTAAATACATGTAGACACATCAGTGGTCCCAAGTTACTACAAAACAGACCGCCTCGGAACGAACACTATGTATCGCCGTCTATAAATACTTAAGCCAAAGTCATGGAAACTCGATTTTTTTTGTTTTTTATAAAACCCCAACGTATCAAAAGGCACAGTTCACTACTAGAACTTCCCATTTGTCACGTTTTGTAAAGGAATATTGTACCTTTTTTCACGATCTTCCATGTGGGGAGTCGAGTTCGGGTCTTCGGCGTGACGAGCCAACGCTTTAACCACTAGGCTACCCCACCGCCCCTAAAAGCCGTAATAGCGGTGACCAACATAACAGTATTGCAGGGTTTGCAAGACAGCGCGTGTGTGAATCTGAGTTGTTCAAGTGTTCGCTGGTCACGCCGATGGCGTGGAGGTTCGATTCCCCACATGAGTACAATGTGTGAAGACTGGTGTCCCCATTTCTGGTGTCCCCGTCGTGATATTGCTGGAATATTGCCAAACGCGCCGTCAGTATCTGTTGTCTAGTCTAATGTGTGCAGGAAGTCAACACTCGTTCCGATACACGATCTGTGACAGGATCATGTGCATGTTCTGTGAACCGGAAGTAAACCGCAGAGAACAATGCGACGCCGTGTGGTATACAGTAGATTTTTGTGAGAGGATATGTATTTCCCCAGTAGAAATATGACTAATGGCATCTGTGCAGACCCGTCTGTCATAAATGTATGTCTTGGAAAGTAGTGTCATAGCTTAATACTTACATATGAACGTGGGTGAGTGAGTTTAGTTTCACGCCGCACTCAGCAATATTCCAGCTGCATGGCGGCGGTCTGTAAATAGTCACGCCTGGACCAAACAATAAAGTGATCAACAGCATGAACATCTATCTACAGAATTGGGATACGATTTCATGTGTCAACCACGTCAGCAAGCCTGACCGCCAGATCCCGTTAGTCGCCTCTTATGATAAGCTTCGGTTACTGACGATCAATTCTAACACGTGACTGCATAGGAACGTATTAAACGCTTCGAGAATACCTTGACTCATCACTGAATTTCAATATAATGTCTATTACGCCCAAAGTATAATGGATAATGTTTCTGCCTCAGAAATTGACGTTGTATATCAAATAGCTTTAGAAACTTGCTTCATTCCCCTGTTCACTGTCATACGCTGAGCCGTATATTATTATTCTTTTGTCTAAATAGACGTGGGGGAGTCGATAGAGCTGAAGATTGAATATGTGAGTGAGTCGGGTGTTACGCTGCCCTAAATATCACGGCGCGGGGACACCACAAATGGCTTCACAAATTGTACCCATGTGGAGAATCGAACACGTGACGTGTGAACGCTTTAACCACTTGGCGACCCCACCGCCCCTCTTGTCGATGTAGTGGCAGGAATAATCGATTATGTTTTGTATGTATTGGACGATATATAGCTGGTAACCTCACCGCCCTAGAGCTGACAAAATGCTGGTTAAAGTTTGCCCTACTTACCACTGGTTCATATTTTGAGCAGGTCCGTGTATTGAATGTTCAATAGACGTACTTCAACCTTTTCATGTGATCACTTTCTACCATTGACTTTAGAAACATTTGCGGTTTAATATTTTGCTGCACGTTCGATCTCAAATTCATTTTGTAGCTCTCAAAGCTCAGGTAACAATATCGTTAAACACAGGAACGTTATCTAAAAAACAGGGAATCATTGCATAGATAGTAGTACTAGTTGTCAATTATAGAATGTGAGCGTCACTCCAGGTTGCAAGTTTCACGGTCATTGTAAGTAAGGGAGCTTGAACCTTGTTTTTTTTTAATTAATCCGGTACGTTCCGTATTATTAGAGGCTGTATGAGAAATTGGCGTATGACTAAAGGGCTACAGCCAGTAAAACAATCGTTAACAGTTTTGGCTTTGTCAATGTCGCGATCGGTAAATAGTGGAATCTGGATCCTTACTATCCAGTGATTGACACTATGAGCATCGATCTAAGCCACTGGACAATCACATGTAATCAACCATGGCAACGAGCATGTACGTTAGAAGATAAGACAAGAATATCCCCAATAATCTCAACCTGAACAGAATATTTCTTCATATTTTATTTTCCCCCTATTTCTTTTTGAGTAAATGAGGGCCCCCTCAAAACCAAAAACCAAAAAAACAAAACAAAATATATATATAAAAATAAAAAATAATTGAATGAATAAAAAATAAAGATATATAAATGAATAAAAATAAATAGAATAACGAAGAAATTAGGTAAAACTAAATCTACGTACACCCTTATCATATTTTTGGAAAACCACTGCACGTGACGGTCCCGTCCACGATTCCCCATTTCAGAATTCAAAAGGAAATTGACAGTACGGACCACCTCCTACACGCTCACTTCTCGATCTAAACTAGACATTCTCGGGAAAATTTCTCATGCACGGATTACAAGTAAAAGAGGTATATTGCCGAACACAACTTCAACTACAATAGAAGACATGTAGTACCAAAATATAGAGGTGAACATAAGCTGCCCAAAGGTACGAGATAAATACATGTATGTACAAATCCTAAGATGCAAAACTGACCATAAATACATAAATAAACTGTCCCACCCATACGAGATAACCTAAATCAATGCAGTACATGAGGAAAGTATGCATTACACTGTCACAGACAACAAAACCCTGATGAATCCCTAATGAGAGAGAGAGAGAGAGAGAGAGAGAGAGAGAGAGAGAGAGAGAGAGAGAGAGAGAGAGAGAGAGAGAGAGAGTGAGAGTGAGAGAGAGAGAGAGAGAGAGAGAGAGAGAGGGTGGATGGGTCGCTGAAGATCTTTGCGGGTTAAACGTGTATGATATTTTTACTTTGTCGGTATGAGTAATTGCTTGCTTGGCAAAATAATTATCTATCAAATTATAGGAAGTGAAAGCGTTATATAAGTTGTATTCTAAGTTAAACAACATATAACGAGTTGTAACAATTCTCTTAACCCGTGAAGATCCGGGTTAGAATTGGTCTTCAGCAACCCATGCTTGTCGAAAGTAACGACCAAAAGGGTGGAGTTGTCAGGCTCGCTGACTTGGTTGACATCGTATCCTAATTGCGTAGATCGATGCTCATGATGTTAATCACTGATTTGCCTTGTCGAGACTAGATTATTTACAGACCGCTGTCGCATAGCTGGAATATTGCTGAGTGCGGCGTTAAACAATAAACACACAAACATAACATTCTTGAAACCATTTTTCAAATTGAAGCAAATATTTTCATCATAAAAAGTGAAACAACATAACAACTGGTACTATGAGACTATGAAGTATGATGCTGGTATCAGCGTGCCTTACCTTATGCTTCAAACGCGTTCAGCCGTTTAGAACAAAGATCAACCACTGTCTCTTTTATGACGGGTGTATTTATAGACAATAAGCTTCCCCTTTAAAACAGCAGGAAACACGACAGCGTTATCTGCACAGGACATAAAACGACCTCACTACTGTTATCCATTGTTCTATCACAATACTGGTGTCGTAACATGATGACTTATTCTTGAGACAAATTATGGGAAGTTTGTTAGCCTATGCTAATGATTGATGCAAAAGTTTATGAAACTTAAACTTGAAACCTGAAATTAATTGAAACATAGTCTCATATTCTTGTTTAAGTTGTTTCATTTTGTGTATTTAAGTAATAATAAAATACAAGTATGTCACGATATAGGTTCTCGAAGGGACGAATCGTATGTGTTGGGGTGTTTTAAGATATTTTAGATTTTCATACTAGTTAGGGCTTCCTTGCCTCTAGGCAGGAGACCTATTGTAATCGTTCGGATTATTATCTATTATTTCGCCGATTTTTGTACCAAACATACCTCCTAAACCAATGCTCCGATTCGCTTGCAAAAAAACACACAGATGCCCACCGAGGTGAAGATATTCCGCTTAAAAATGTCTAGGCTCTAGGCCCAATAGCAAAGGGGAGATAGTTCAAAGTTAATTCCAAAGTTTCAAAGTTTAACAGCACATATCTCAGGAACTATTTAGTCCAACACCTCCAAATCTCTTGTACAGATGCACAATTGAATTCCCAAAATTTTGCCTGGACGGGTCAAGTCGTTAAAATGTACCGTTTGGCAGTTATTTATGTTTTCAGTTTTTGGCCATGTTTTTCAGCAGTTTTCGGAGTAGTTTGCTCCCAAAATGTGCTGAGCTCGAACCATCAGCTCTAGACATTCCAAACTTTCCATAACTGATGTCCAGTAACCATTGTGCAAATTCTGCACAAAAAGTGCCAGTATGGTAGATGAAGTCTTGGTGATTCCAGAACACTAATTGTTATGACCGTAAGCCCAAGAACAATTGAGATGCAGCCTTTTAAAGAGGGAACTATTTCTTCTGCAGAACTTCTTAAAAGGGTACATGACCCCCGCGACCCCGGCTGTATTTGGAAGATCCGCTCGCCTGTTACAAACGGGTTCTGGCTCCGTTTTGGACAATGATTTCTAGCCCTCATCGTTGCTTGAAACAATATTTTTACAATTATATCTGTGATATTCTAGTTTTTTTTACTGTCCTTCGCCGACAGGTTTACATAATTTACCATGATTTATTATGTAATTATAACTTGTGTTTAGTCACGATATGGCTGAAATATTGTCGATGTGACTAAAAATCCTAACTCATTCACTCGAAGGGGCGAATCGTATGTGTTGGGGTGTCTTCCCCTGGGAGTATAATAAATGTGTTATGAGTTCGAATACTGGTACACCATGAAAAGGTTTGCAAGGTCCATACCCGTGTGTATTTTTAACCAGGAGTAATGTGATAAACGTATACAGTTTATATTAAGCTGACACGCTGTAAACCTCGAAGCCATGTTAAACACAAGTGACATACTCACTGTGTAACTATACAAAATGAAGAAAGAATGTTCAGTTCAAGAGAATTGTATTTACAAAATCTACAAGACATCAGTTAAAATATGTGGTTCTATGGAAGCAAAACTGAGCAATTATCCAATATTGATGCAAATATTTTGATCTATTAGTGATTATACACATAAATTTGCTGTAACTAAGACATTATCTGTAGTGAGTTGGTAGGCAAGGCATATGATACTCTCTACAGGTGCACTCAAACAACCCCCCACAAATGGTTAAATTGAGTTTTACACCGTTTTAGCCATATTCCAAAAGTATTACAGTGGACCAGAAATGTGTTCCACACACAGTACCCACAGAGGGAGTCGAACCTAACCCTCAAGTGTGACGACAGTCTCATTGCCCCTCATTGAATGTGATTGATCGCTATATATACCAATCCCATCAGAGTATTAAGGACATGAATAGCACGTGTCAGCTGGTATGCTTCTGATATGTAAATCCTAAAACCCTTACATTCAGTATCGGTAGAAATAATATATAAATATAGAATAACGCCTCAGAAGAATGGCAAAAAGCGACGAATAGCAAGATTTACAGCAACCTTTACAACTAGCTTCAATCCGTTTTTCAGCAGGTTATATGTGAAAGAGTCTCCCTTGTCTACCTCATCGACAGTCCTGTCCCTGAAGTCAATCATGGCCATCTCTTCATCAATAGCTCGTTCGCGCTCCAACATTTCTTCGTCAATCTCCCATGTATTCCTGTCTCTCATTTGCTTGAGATCTTCAATCTCCTGTTTCAACGATGCAATTCCCGATACATCGACATTGTCATTAGCTGTACCCTGTTCTAGAACCTGTAGTTTCTGCTGAAGTCCGCTGATGGTTTTGCTCGTCCTTGCTTCAGCTTGTTGGTGCCTCCACTCACATTCTTCTCTGATCGCATCCTTCTGTAACTGCACTTCCTTTGCATGCTGTAGTTGCAACTGTTTCTCTCGTGTCTTCATTATCTTCTCAGCCTCCTGGTACATCTCGTTGGTGTAACAACCCCCTCCGTTAGCACACAGCATTGTGTCGACTATGCGAAGAAATGTTTTTACATCTTGTTCCCGCTCATCCTCAGAACTTGTCCGGTTGTCGAAAGCCACGTATCTGTTTTCACAGTTTGCAAGGAGGGTCTTAAGGTTGTCGGGGACACCTTCTAGAAACAGTTCGATTGTGCTTTTGTCATTAATCAAGTCATCTTTCCTTGTAAACAAGACCACCAGGTAGTGAATCATATTCTCCCCAAATATTTCCAAAAAAGAGCGAACAGTTTTTTGCTCTTCTTCTGTGAACCTGTCAATCCGTACGACAAGAACGAGTGCATGAGGACCTGGAGCAGTCATTCCAACACACCTGACAACTTCTCTGGTGATGTCTTCATCAGTCATTTCAGTGTCAAACATACCAGGTGTGTCTATTATAGTAATGCGACGCCCAAATCTGCTGGCCTGACCTCTCTGGCACCGACGAGTTACCGACTTGCCGCTTGCAGTTGAATGGAAGAAATTGCCGTTGAGGATGTTGTTGCCTGTGGCACTTTTACCCGATCCAGTTCTCCCCAGAAAAACGAGTCTGAGATCATCTGTACATCTGTAGCCTATAACACAAAAAACTGCATATAGATAATGCCACACACACACACACAGATATATATATATTATATATAGTAACATTAAAAGCAATATACATATATATAAGAATAACTGCCGCCAAAGTTACTTGGGACAGATGCAAATATAAGGTTATCACTATAAAGGGTATCACTGTCAACATTTGTGTGTAGAAATAGCTTAGAGACAGGTTTAAAAGGCGATCATAGTTTGGAGACAGACAAAATTGAAGTATTGAAATTGCAAAATTTGTGTGGAGAACTTCTTGTTGGTAGTGGTTATTCCTTTACCCGCTGAAATAGTCCACAGTGTAGCTTGTTGCAAGACATTGCTACGGGAAGTTCAACTTCTATCGCTAGATACGAATACCATGCTCACCTTTGTCATTTGCCTTGCTCCGGGAGACATCACGTTTATCGTACATATCGGAAAATGGCCTGCGTGGACGTGTTTCTAAGGAGTCGTTGCCAGTGGATACAACCAAATGGTTCACTTCCCTTGTTAAATCACACAGTCCACAGTTGACAGATCCCGCTCTGTTTCTGTAAGTGCAGTGTGAACATGTCCAATCTGCAGAGAAACCAGGAACATGTATGGTTGAGGAAAAGATACGGATTTTGACTTTGACTATTCAAGAATGCCTGAAAGTACCCTTGTACTTCGGTGATATAAGATTATAAGATTTTTTATTTTGCACTATTAATTTTCAGCTTGAAAAAGATATGACGAAAATGTAAAATAAGAAAACTACCTCCCATACCATAATCCTCATCATGTATTATATATACATACCAGAACCCTCATCATGTATTATACATACCATAACCCCCATAATGTATTATACATACCATAACCCTCATCATGGTATTATACAGACCATAACCTCATCATGTATTAAACATACCATAACCCTCATCATGGTATTATACATACCATAACATTCATCATGTATTATACATACCATAACCCTCATAATGAATCATACATACCATAACCCTTATTATGGTATTATACGTACCATAACCCTCACCATGTATTATACATACCATAACCCTCATCATGTATTATACATACCATAGCCCTTCATCATGGTATTATACATACCATAGGTCTCATTATGGTATTATATATACCATAACCCTCATCATGTATTATACATACCATAACCCTCATCCTGGCATAATACATACCATAACCCTCATCATGGTATCATACATACCATAACCCATTTCAAGTATTATACATACCATAACCCTCATCATGTATTATACATACCATAACCCTTCATCATGGTATTATACATACCATAACCCTCATCATGTATTATACATACCAGAACCCTCATCATGTATTATACATACTATAACCCTCATCATGGTATTATACATACCATAGCCCTTCATCATGGTATTATACATACCATAACCCTTATCATGTATTATACATATCAGAACCCTCATCATGTATTATACATACCATAGCTCTTCATCATCGTATTATACATACCATAACCCTCATCATGTATTATACATACCATAACCCTCATTATGGTATTATACACACCATAACCTTCATCATGGTATTATACACACCATAACCCTCATTATGGTATTATACACACCATAACCATAATCATGTATTATACACACCATAACCATAATTATGTATTATACATACCATAACCCTCATCATGTATTATACATACCATAACCCGCATTATGGTATTATACATACCATAACCCTCATTATGGTATTATACATACCATAACCCTCATTATGGTATTATACTCACCATAACCATAATCATGTATTATACACACCATAACCATAATCATGTATTATACATACCATAACCCTCATTATGGTATTATACCTACCATAACCCTCATCATGTATTATACATACCATAACCCTCATCATGTATTATACATACCATAACCCTAATCATGTATTATACATACCAGAACCCTCATCATGTATTATACATACCATAACCCTCATCATGTATTATACATACCATAACCCTCATCATGTATTATACATACCATAACCCTCATCATGTATTATACATACCATAACCCTCATCATGTATTATACATACCATAACCTTCATCATGTATTATACATACCATAACCCTCATCATGTATTATACATACCATAACCCTCATTATGGTATTATACACACCATAACCTTCATCATGGTATTATATACCATAACCCTCAT